CACATGGAAGTGACATTAACTCCGATGAAAAAAATGTCCTGTTATTTTTCATCATATAACCAATATCTTATAATTATTTTTAATTATTATTATTTATTATTATTTACAGTTACACATGAACCTGTTAAACCATTTTTACAACCTAGTTTAAGTGCAAACACCAAATTCATAAAATCTTGGGCAAGCAAACAAATTGGGTCACACATGCAACCAAGTATTTAATTATTTTTATTTTATTTTATTTTTCTTTTATTTGTCTTTTTGGTTCATTTTGCCGACTCTATTCCTTTCATCGACTATAAAATAGGTAAATTTATTATTTTAATTGTAATTTAATTATTAATTTAATATGACTTAATTTCTTTGCATATAATTTAAATTTCATTATATATAATTTTTAATTTAATCATATTCACATCGTAAATTGTATATAATTAAATTACAACGACAATTACTTGACAATACCTATTTTATAGTTTTTGTAAAGAAAGAGTCTTTTTCGTAATTCAAAAAATTTTTTTTAAAATCTAATTATTATTTTTATTTTTCTTTTTAATACTGTTTCTAGCTCCTTTAAATTTTACAAAGATGCCATTAAACCCTGGTAAAAGTGCTGCTGTTATTGGTCTCATGCCCTTGAATCCTGGTAAAAGTACTGCGGTTATCGGTCTCAGTGGTATTTATGATAATGGAAAAACTGAAAGTGATTCGGAATGTTATTTTGTGATTTGACAAATTACTAGATTTGATGTGTGAAACCTGAAATTTACACGTTTACTACTTTTTTTTTTGTCATTCACTATTGTTAATTGTAATATAGTATAGAAAGTTTTGGTATTGTAATATTTTCATTAAACAATGAAATCATGTTACGTACAAATTTTATATCATGCCAAGAAAACAAAATTAAATTTTAAATGGATTTGGAATTTTCAACGTAATAAGACTCTAAATTTACAAACGGAATAAGTTTAAAATTAAAAAGTTGGCATTTTAACATTTAACGTTAGTGTTAGTATTTTTAGTGCTGTTGTTGTTAATGTTGTTGTTATTAATGTTGTTGTTAATGTTGTTGTTATTAATGTTGTTGTTAATGTTGTTGTTAATGTTGTTGTTATTAATGTTGTTGTTAGTATTGTTGTTGTTGTTATTAATGTTGTTGTTAATGTTGTTGTTATTAATGTTGTTGTTAGTTACTGTAATTTTTTAGTTAATTTCTTAGTTAATTTTTTAGTTAATTTTTTAATTAATTTTTTAATTAATTTTTTAGTTAATTTTTTTAATTAATTTCTTAGTTAAATTTTTAGTTAATTTATTAGTTAATTTTTTTAATTAATTTCTTAGTTAAATTTTTAGTTAATTTATTAGTTAATTTATCAGTTAATTTTTTGATTATTTTTTTAATTATTTTTTTAGTTAATTTTTTAGTTAATTTTTTAGTTTAGGACTTGACAATCTATACACTAGTTTCTAAAACTAATGTTAACAACAACACTAACAACAATATTAACAACAACATTAATAACAACAGCATTAGAGGTCTGCAACCCAGGCATGTTCCTGTGCCCAACAAAAGGTCTGGGCATGGGCATAGGCACGAAATCTCAGGCATGGGCATGGGCACAGGCATGAAAACTCAGGCATGGGCATGAACATGAGCATAAAAAATTGGCATAGGCATAGGCACGGCACAAAAAACTTGGCATGGGCATGGGCACAGGCACAGAAATTTAGT